CTCTCTCTCTCTCTCTCTGATCTAAGAACTGTTGCTGTGCTGTGGTGGAGTTTACATTTTACAGTGTTAATAATTTAAGATTTTGGAAGTATTTTAAGTGTCCTCTCTGACTAATTTCCATGAACCTGACCTCAATGTATTGCACAGTTGGTATACACATTCAGTACACCAAAAAAAATGTGGTGGGCCAGTCTAGTCCAAAATGCCAGGGCTGATTTTTTTGTCCCAGTCCACCCCTGATTGAAACCAGCTGCTTCCTCTTCTTCTGCAGCATGCGGTCTGAACGTAGCATCAGACTGGAGGAGCCCGAAGGCCAGACAGAACACCAGAGCAGGGAGGCTGCAGCTGATCGAGGCTAGCTAGGCTAACTGCTGAGGATTGAAGGAGCATAGCGGAGATTGAATCCATCTGCTGGAAAATAGTACGCTAGAGGTGAGAAAGAGGCTGTTGCTGGCCAGGACAGCGAGTAAGTAAACCTCTTAAGCATTCCCCACCTCATCCTTTGTCAACATTATTTTCTCCATCTTCTTTTCTGATTAAAAAAGCTGGACTCTGCTGCTTTCTTCACTGAAACAGTTACTGATTCATGATATCTTAAATTTTGATACCTAAAAATACAATGTCAGCTTACATGAGAAAGACGGATTGAAGAATGTATGGACCTGATGCTATTCAGCCAGGAAGAAAATTCCTTTAACGACCCTCCTTTCAGAGACATAGACAGGTATCCGTTTCTATTTGCATGTTTTCTAAACTACAACCAGGCTTTGTTGGGCTGCTGGATAAAACCTGGAACTCAACGCTATTTCTGTCATTTGGAATCGAAAAAGCTTCCAGGATGGGAAGAGAAACGTCTTCAAACTTGGAAACTAAGTCCAGTGGATTGTTTTTTAGCTTTTTTTGGAATGACTCTGACCTGAATGACAGAGAATCTTCACCAGCTATGGGCTCAATGGTTCAATGAATCATGAGGCCTCATCTCACCTGTGTTTGATGATGAGATCTTCACTGGCCAATCTACGCAGACCTGAGGAGAACAATCATCAGATCCATTTCTACTTCCTTGGACTCCTGCAGACATCCGTTAGCCTACCTTTAGCCTTGCCATGCTGAGCTAACAGGCGCCCCCTGCTGCTGCGGCATCTGAACAGAACAACAGCTGCAATCATCAGAAGGCACCACAGAAGGGCACCAACGCTGCCAATGAACGCCGGCTCCTGGAGCAGGGCCAGGGCAGGTTTTCTGTCCCAGTGTGCGGCGGCTCCAAGCTGTGGGTCTGAGGAACAGCAGACAGTTCAGGGGGGTCAAATCCTGCAGTAAGGTCCGGATGGAGAAGCAATGAAAAAACTCACTGATGAAAAACCCGTGAGGGTCGCTAAGCGCGCCGACTCCAGCACCGTTCACAGCCGCCATGGTGATCCAGTACTGTTTGTCTGGTTTCAGGGAGGAGATGTCCAGGCTGTGCTGACCGCTGTCCACCGTCCAGTTCTGATGCTGCTGCTCCTCCGAATCCACACACCACACCTGAAGGAGGGGTTCACATCTTCATCATCAGAGGAAGAAGGCTGATGCTCATTCTCCTCTGCTTTGCTGAACAACTTTCTAACCTTATTATGAAGGATTACCTTCATTAATGTTAATCTGTTGCTCTGAATCAGGGTTCTGCAACCTTTACGATCCACAGACTCCTTTTTGACTCTAGTCCAGCTAATAAAACCACATTACAGCCACAAATCAAAGCATGACCTTCTTTACAAACAGAAAAAGCTTTTATTTAAAAACCAACATTACTGAACCTTAAAAAGAAAAACATACATTTCTGATATAAATTTTAGATTATAATTAAAGTCTTAATTGAATTATGAAAAAATAATCACGATAAGAAACATTTCTACCACTTAAAAAAAGGACAAAATGTAGACGTTTGGAAATTCAGAGGAAGGAAGGAAGGAAGGAAGGAAGGAAGGAAGGAAGGAAGGAAGGAAGGAAGGA